TAACCAGAAGGCTGGAGGTTCAAACCCACCAGCCACTCCTCAGAAGGAAGGTTGGGCAATCTACTTCTGTAGTGATACTGCCTCAGAAACCCAAGGAGAGGTCGTTATGAGTTGGATCCAACTCGATGGCAGTGGGTTTGATGGGGCAAGAATAAAAATCTAACCAACTTGCTTAGTGCTGTGTCTTAGAGATGTGTCCACAAGATGTCAGTGTATGAACTTCCCACGGCCATCAAAGACTGTTTTATTTCCTTTTTAAGTGGTTTGAGCAGTTGGGTAGAAAGGTTGGAATAGTGTCTGTGTCTGCTTTCAGTAGCTTTCATTGGGCTGAAACATGGAAGGATAAAGAGGAATACAACCCCTAGGTTGGAATGCATCTGCGGACATCTGTTATAAAGGATAGAAGAGGAAGAGAGAATAGAAAAGATTTGGGAATCCTGAGAGTGATGCTGTGGCTTCATACAACATGTGTTTACCAAAAACAAACCAAATTCATTGCCCTCGAGTTGGATCCCACTCATAGTGCCCCCTCCTTGGGTTTCCAAGGCAGTATCTCTAGGGAAGTAGATTGCCCAATCTTCCTTCTGAGGAGTGGCTGGTGGGTTTGAACTGCCAGCCTTCTGGTTAGCAGTTAAATGCCTTAGGCATGTGTTTGGAGATTCCTATAAGGGAACTGGGGGAGAATCTGAGGACAGTTTGCCAAAAACAGTTTCAATTATTCTCATCTGAGTTTCTTTATGAGGGAGTCAAACAAAAATACAATTTTTGGAGTTTGATAATCTGACATAAACCCCCTCACACCAGATGAATTGTTACTTAAAAATGGAACACAATCTTTAATCCTGTAGTGCCTAAGGAGGAAAGTACTTTGACTTTGAACAATATTTATATTGTTAATAGTGATGAATATTTTTTACTGATAGGACAGTGTTTTGGGAGAAGTTTGCCTTCTTGATAGTAATCATAAGAATTGTAGAATTGCATGAAAAAAAAAATGCCTGTGCTGTCAAGGCCACTATTTAGAGGGTTCATGGGTGCTCTAGGATGCACAGTTGCATCCCCTTCCCAGATCTTCAAATAAAATTGGATATAGAGTTACATTTTCAGTGAAAATGACTTTATAGCTGCTACTATCTGTACTCCAAATACACCACTAGAGAGAATACAGAAGCCTCTTTCTGTATCATTTGTATGAGCAGATGCTCTGCTGTTATAATGTTACCAGTTCGTGGCTTGATGGATAAAATTATCAGAAAAGTTGGCAGTTCAAGTCCCTTCAGTGGACTAGGAAGAAGGTCTGGCAATCTACTTCTGAAAACCCTGTAGAGCACAGTTCTAGTCTGATACATGTGGGGTCGCCATGAGCCAGAATCGACTGCATGAAACTGGTTTTTGGAAACCAAAAATTAGTGAACAGTTTTCACCTTAAAATCAGATTAGAGGCAAGAGAGCGATCAGCACAAATGGATGTTTGCTCCCATAGCTGTGATGTATAACAAGTTTATTCCAGTAGGCCCCTCTCATTTGATCACTGATTAATTCACTGATCTTGGAAATTTCCTTCCAATAATTCCTTCCATATTAAGCTTTATGTTTGCCCTCTAGCAAATATAATATTTGTTAATTAAATCACAAGGAAAGTCAAAACTATGTTTAGAATAGGCCAAATTTCCCAACCTGGCTGTCATAGCGCATTCAAACTTCATTCACCCATAAATCATGTTTTGGAGGCTCTGCATCTGTGCTGTCAGGAACACAGAGCAGGACCATTTCAACAAGGGAAGCCCTGCCTTCATGCTGCTCCCAGGATGCTATGGGTATTCATGGCCCTCATCTCTTAGGTAGAACAAATCACAGACCAGGGGGCCAGCTGCCGGTCAGTACTCAGAGGCAGAACAGGGCAGAGGAGTAGAGGTCTCAAATACTTAGAAACTCTCTTCCTAAACCTCTCCTTTGATTTGATGTTTTGCACCTGCATCAAAGAACTGGCACTGTTTTAGACACTCTGTCTAGAGTTTCTTTGCAAGTTGACTATTTGCCTTTTAAGTCTCTAGGCGTCAGGAACAGGATTTCACTTGTCTCTTAACCTAAAGGTTGATGGTTTGAACCCACCCAACAGTGCCACAATCCAAGAAAACCCTATGGAGCAGTTCTACTCTGTCACACATGGGGTTGCTATGAGTTGGAATGGATTTGATGGCAAAAGGTTTTGTTTTATTTGCCTTTTGATACCTTTAGGTTAATTAAGCCGTTAAAACAGATAAATCAAATGGAAGATTCAAGCTGTTTCCACACCACCTTACAGTACATGAAAACTGAGCCACCAACTTCTGTGTTGTTGACATGTACTAGGTGCTTGAAGCGTATAGAGATCACATTCTATAGGAGTGGATTCTGGCATCGTGTCACACAGAGATCTGACATGTTTGTCATGACACTATTTTACAAATAAAATCTCAAGGCACAGAATTTAACATGTGAGACTGACACTTTGTGTCCATGGGAAAGACAATGTAACACCAGGACAATTCTAGAACACATGATCTGATAAGTACAATTCTCATGTAGAGGCAACAGAACCGAATGTGTCAATCCTCTTCAGAATCTAAGAAGTAAAACTCAGTGTCATATTTTGAAAGAGTAATATTTTGTTCCTGTTACAATGCTATAAAAACAAACAAGTCAGAAGGACTGAGTTTATATCATTTGATTTGCAGTAGCTTTCTTTATTGTACAACATAAGTAAAGCCCTGGAACTCATTAAGAAAAGAAGAAAGATGCATTGGATAGAATTGCATTGTATTCGATAGAATTGCTTTTCACTAAAAAAGTCAATGATCTGTGAGCTTTTCCCCTTTATTTCATTAGAATCTGGATGGAGAAAAGTAAATATAGACAAAATGAATTAATAGTAAGTAGATTACAAAGAGGGTCAATGGCCCATAATAAATTCTATGGTAGATTAGTCCCCAAAATCATTCCATTAAATAATTCATGTATATCAATTGATTCAATCTTCCCTTCCCCTCAGCTTCAACCCTCAATATTACTTTTTTTTTTTTTTTTTTTTTTTCATGTCCCTTGTCAGATATTTCCGAAGTTAATTACTAAGGAGAGACAACTGGGCAGAGTGAAGGTTTGGGGTGAGCCTGATTTTTTTCTCATCTATGCATAGGTCATGTGATCTATGCACACATGAACCCGTATTTCCTGTTAGAGGAAGTAGCACCAGAACCAAGGAACTACGCATATACAGTGTATAGCACTCAATGATACTGAACTCTGAGCCTGAGGCAGAACAGACACGTTTGTGTAGAGGAATATACGCCACATGCCACTCTCCAGTCTACTGTGGGTGTTCGTGGCCTTCATCTACTCTGGTAAGGAAGTCTCCAAAAGTGAGTAAAGAGTTAAAGATGAAGGGATCACACACAGCATGTGGTGTGTCACAGGGACTTGAGGAGGAAAAGGGCACTGTAGAAAAGCAAGTAGACTAAGATGTCAACTTGGTTTGTGTTTGTGTCCTCACTTAGTCTAATTCTTACAATATTTCATTGACTGCACCAGAGGAGCAATTCTGTTCTCTGATTTTTCCCACAGGATCTGTTGTGGCCCAGAGTGTTACTCAAGCCCAGTCAGCTACATCCATGCCAGAGGGGGCAGCTGTCACTCTGGACTGTCAGTATGAGACGAGTTGGGCATCACACTATATTTACTGGTACAAACAACTTCCCACTGGCGAGATAATGTTCCTCATTCATCAGGGTTCTTACAGCCAGAATGCAAAGCTTGGTCGCTATTCTATAAACTTCCAGAAAGAAGCTAAATCTATCAGCCTCATCATTTCAGCCTTACAGGTGGGAGATTCAGCAAGATACTTCTGTGCTCTCGAGGAACTCACTGTGTTTGAAGAGATAGTGAAAGCTGAACAAAAACCTCAGGACTCAATAACAGAGAGCTCCCTGCTGTAGGCTTTGACCTGAAATGCACACCTGCAGATCCCAGGCAAGAAATGGCAGTGACTGGTTGTTTAATATGTGGTCCGGGCCAGAGGATTTCATGCTAAATAAAACCATCTTTTAGCTCATTTGGAAACAGGTGTCTGGAGTAACATTCTTCAAATACCTTCTCAATCTTGAATTTTTGACTTAAAATAGATCTCACAGAACATCTGTAAAGTTGTCTAATGTTGAAAAAACTTGCCCCATACTAATTTAATTAAAGTGGCAGTTTCACTTAAAGATGTTCACAGCACAAAGCTGGGTCTAGTCATTTTATATCTGGCATAGTCATTGCAATCATTTCCTTGGCCCTTTCTCCTCAGGCTTTCTGTGAGTCAGTCAAAGATCAACCGGAGAAGTAAACTGCCATGAGTTATATAGACTAAGAGATTAATTAGACCTTATATAATTGCTGGCGCTGGTGGAGGAGTCTTTGCAAAACTGTTACTTTTGCATCTGGCATGGAGCCTGAAGATACTACAGGTCTGCTAGACTAACATTTTAAGAAGGAAAGCTGGATGTAAACAAGAAGAGCATGAAAAACCAGGGATTTGTAAGGAAAAACTGGAACCCATGAGGACAATTAGAACAAGCAAGGACAAACTGAAATTTGTCTGTCTCTGATGTTTAGGAGAAGCTTGGAAGGAAGGTTGGGCAATCTACTTCCATAGTGATACCGCCTTGGAAACCCAAGGAGGGTTTGCTATGAGTTTGATTTGACTTGACAGCAGTGAAGTTTTTGGTTTTTGGTGTCACTTACTTTCTCATTCCACACTCTTGGCCCAGGACAAAGAGAAGCTGAAGGAGAGCATCTAGTGGGGGTTGGAACACTGAGTCAACAACAAAGTGAGCTAGCATAGATGAGGAATAACATATGTGAGCTGCCACAGTACCCTGAGCCCTGCACCAAACTGCAGGGTATAAAAATATGGTTGCTGCATCACACCCACCTTCTGAATCTTATGCAGATTTCTCTTGTGGTCAATGCTAACCCAGAACTATGTAGGAAAGCAAATTCTTGGAAATACATTTCCAGCTTCATTAAGTTGACAGAAAACAAAGTCACTACATACAGTACATTTCTTGTCACTCTGGAATTTCTTTTCTCATATGCTTTTCTTTTAATGATACTTAATTTCTGAATAACGATGATAGCAAAATCAGAGTTTCCCCTAACATGATATAATTATTACATATTCAATTAAACCATGCTAAATTTCTTCTCCAAAGAGGTTATAAATTCCATTTCTCCATCCTTAGGTGATATTCTTTCCTCTTCCAGTTGAGGCATACTCCTCCTTTTATCTCTTGTAGCTTAACTGCTGAGATATAAAATTAACTTTTATTAGCACATTTTATGTTATTACATGTAAGCAAATGGGAGAAGGAGTGAAAAATGGTTGATATATTGTGGTGGTTAAGATTGTGTG